GAGAGAGAGAGAGAGAGAGAGAGAGAGAGAGAGAGAGAGAGAGAGGAGAGAGAGAGAGAGAGAGAGAGAGAAAGGATCACAGCAGGCACACAGAGATTCTGGACTAGACACACTCTCGGTGTCCAATGTCCGTAGCCAAAAGAATGTAGTTCACAAGAAAAGAGAAAAAAAGCAAGTAAGAACTAGCAGGTGCGCTTTACAATTATCATGATCATGTTGGATCCACCTTCGTTTCTTCACTTCAAAGTTCAAACCCTAAACCCTTCAACTGCCACTCATTCTCCACTCAGCTGGAGGACTGACCTAGCAGCTGCCAATCTACTCTTACGGTAACCCCTCCCTTCAGCTATCCTACCTCTCTCTCTCTCCGCTACAGTAACTACAACTAGAATACAACTACTACACACTGTACAGTGCACAGCCTTTTGAGAGACTTTGCTTGGAACATAACTGTTTCATCTTTCCTTTGACATACGATACGCTTTTTCTCACCTTGCAAAATTTCCAGAATGTCGTTCTCCAATTCGTTAGCGCACCTCTCCGTTATCTTCACCGCCAACTACCGTCTTCACCCAAATAGAACGCCCGGTCATTATCGCTGCATCTAGACAGAAAACTGCCCCAGATACGGCTATAATGACCGGGCGTTCTATTTGGGTGAAGACGGTACCTCGGATCCTTGTTCATTCTGCCATATGATGCTTTGTCGAAGTCTAATCCCACCGCATCCTCTAATCGAACATCACAGATCCCCATTTCCAGCAGGTGGAGCTCCCCAACCATTTTACACGACCTTTCAAAATGGGTTATACCGTTGTACTGATCATTTCAAGAAATTCAATGCTCGTAGAAGATTTTCAACAAATCCGCCCACGTACAATGTTTGTTAAAATAATAATAATAATAATAATAATAATAATAATAATAATAATAAATAAAAAAAATCCAGCATCAGAGAAGCCTGCTGAAACCTCCTGCCTCTGCTGCTCCTGATGCTACCTCCTGCCTCCGTGCTGTAGTAGTCCACCTCTGCTCCACCTGTTCAGACCCTGGTTTAGAATTGCTGGACCTGGTTTTCAGTTGGCTTCGATCGCACCACCTCTTAATCCAGCATCAGCGAAGCCTGACGACAACTTCACCTGATGCTGCTGATACTGCTGTTGCTGCTGCTGCCACTGTGCACTACTAGTAGTCCAGGTCCAGGAATTTTAAACCAGGTCGAGGAATTTTACACCAGGTCCAGGAATTTTAAACCAGGTCCAGGAATTGTAAACCAGGTCCAGGAATTGTAAACCAGGTCCAGGAATTTTACAACTCAGTCCGTTCCACCAGACTGAGGTGGTGACCTGGTTTACAATTCCTGGACCTGGTTGTCAGCGGGCTTCTATCCCACCACCTCCTAGTCCAGCGCCGGAGAAGCCTGCTGAAAACTCCTGTTGCTACGGCTGCTGCTGCTGCTGCATCTGTGCTCTACCTTCTACCCCCGAATACAACGTAGGGTCATTATAGCTGTGTTTAGACTGAAAGATAGTTCAAATACAGCTGTAATGACTCTACGTTATATTTGGGGGAAGAAGGTAGTCCACCTCGGTCCCAGTTGTGAACCTGGTTTATGATTCCTGGACCTGGTTCTCAGTGGGTTTCGATCCCACAACCTCCCAATCCAGCATCAGAGAAGCCTGCTGACAACAACAACTGCTGCTGCTGCTGCTGCTGCTGCTGCTGCTGCTGCTGCTGCTGCTGCCGCTGTGCTCTAACCCGCCTGCGTTCCAAGCTGTGAAGTTCAACCTGGTTTACAATTTCTGGACCCGGTTCTCAGTGGGCTTCGATCGCACCACCTCCTAATCCAGCCTCAGAGAAGCCTGCTAAAAACTCCTGCTGCTGCTGCTGCTGCTGCTGCTGAGGAAGTGGCCCATCTTTTCTCCCCGGCGCGGACTCCGATCCCGAGGCAGACTCGCCATCCTGCCGCAAATCTATCTTCTTGCTTGTCATCGCACACTCTGATCCGGATCGAGATCCCAGCGACAGACTCGCCAACAGACTTCCGTTGATCCCTGCCGACCGGCCGTCTCCCCGCCGCCTACTCCTCCTGGCTTGCTCCAGCCATCCCGACAAGGGCACAGTCGCCGGGACCTTTATCCCAACACAACTATGATCGTCTGGAAACCGATGGCGCAGGCAGACCTCTATCTCACAACATTTGCACCGCGTCTTCGCTGAGAAGGTTAGCACCTGCTTGCACCCCTTGACTGGGCACCGCGGCTTCTTCTTCGTGTCCAGATTGAACGATAGGGCGTAATTGGATGGATCGCAGGCTTCGCTGCGTATGTGCCGATCCATTGTCACGTCCCCTTCTTCGCCAAACACTTGTCGAACGGCCTTCGCGCAGATGGGACAGATCATCACCCTCATGTCTTTGGAATCCTTCCAAGGGCACTCGTGGCTGGCAAACGTCCTGTGCTCCAAGCAAAATGTCTGACTCACACACACACACACACACACACACACACACACACACACACACACAATCAGTTTTATGTTTGTCTGTCTTCCTGTTGTTGTCTGTCCTCCCCCTTATCCTTTTTCCAGTGTTTTTGCTTACACAAACTGAGAACCCTCAAGTAGTGCCAAACAGTCGGTGGTTCCTCATTTGTAGTGCCTACTGCACTCTTATGGGGGCCGTTTAGTTCGGTTTGTCTGTGTTGCCTGTAGATGATGACGGATGCTCATCGGAGTGACTCCCTGGCTCAGTGGGTGGTGGGAACCAACAGTCTGCAGGGTTCAATCGTGATGTGAGTAGGTCATGTGCTGCTTTGCTCCGTGTTGGATATGTGGACTGCCTCGTCTGCGCTCCACCGCCACCTTGCTGCCTGTCACGCTTGCTTTGCATGTGGTTTTCTGCAAGTTGCTGTGTTCTCTGTGTGGTGTGGCTGTGGCAGAGCAGGCTGTTGGTAAGACAAAGAACCTGCCGACGTGGCAGATTAGCATCAACACGACGTCGAGAGGAAGGGGGACTGGGAGGAGGAGAGAATGAACGAACCTGCCGACGTCCCAATAAAGGACAACGATGACAAAGGAGGGGCCGATCTCAGCCAGCGTGGGGGGGCAAATGAAGAAGAAGGAGAAGGAGAAGGAGAAGAAGAAGAAGAAGAAGACAAAGAAATGGATGATGCAGAAGTAGAAGAAGAAAAAGAAGAAGAAGATGATGAAGACGACACCGACGAAGAAGAAGAGGACGCTGGCAAAGAGGAAGGACGAGAGGGCGGGGGAGAGGGAGAGGAAGGA